AATAATTAGAAAAAATATTAAGATTACCATAAGCATAAATGCCTCTTAGGAGGTTTTCTTTCAAACCCATTTTATCAAAGCTCTCACAAACCTCATCATAAGCAGTAAAGAACTCTTTTCCTTCATCAGAAAGCCTATAATCATGAGCCAATAAAAATCAGAAATTAAGTATACCTGATTAAGAATTAATAAAAGAAAATTGAGGTGAATGTAAAACTTACACTTCATTCATTTTGCTGTCATATTGATGAGCATCGTATTGTGATCCATCAGGTGCGAGTCCAGCCATGACTGTAACCAGCAACAAAAAAAGCATCACATAAGAGATGGTAAGACATCTATAACAGAACCATACAACTAATATTAGATTTCACATCTCCCAACACTATCAGTGCACCACCACAATGCCTAAAAGAGCAATATATAAATAACTTCCCCAAACTAAAACAGCATTTTTAAAAACAAACAGTAATCTCCATCTGATATAAGTGTTCGAGTGCAAGCATACCAACTTTATTCAGGACTAAAATCTTATGTCAACATTTACAGGCCGTTTCTTTATAATCCAGAATGACCCATTTACAATGACAACGTTTTTTTGGTGCTTAAAAAATGCTCGTAGACAAGTGTTTAAATAAATGGAAACATAAGAACATAACAAGTAAAGCATTTAACAGACAATAGAAACATCAAACAATTAAGCCCTGAAATCTTAACGCATGAAGCAGTTAATCCAGAGTCAATCTAACAGCTGGAACATAGAGTTCCATATTTAGCTACCTAAAACCTCCAAGTAAACTAATGTAAAATATTTAAGCCATCAAATTCAAATTAAAAATAGACAATATTAAAGGCTTGATAACTAATACAATTGACGATGAAACGGTTATCATACTACAATATAATACAACAGAAAGAAGATCACGTAAATGAATCCTGATGAATGTCGGTCATCACTGGTTAATAAACATAATCAACAAAAATTATGTTACGAAACAGAACTTAAAGACACTGATCACAAAGCTCGCCAAACCATGATCAAAGAAACCAGACAGCGCCTTATGTTATTCATATTGGTGATCAAACGACACAGTATCAAAATACAAAAACAAATCTAAACAAACATCGACAGTGCAATACGATAAATAAAGTATAGTAATCGGACCGGTTACTTTCAAAAAAAAAAAGCCTCTAGCAGAAAACAAAGCAATAGAGCAAAAAACAGAATCCGAGAATCGAAGATCACCTGTTTGGTTTGATTGTCGTTGTTTTCGAGATTGAATTGATACGAGAAACTGAAGAATTTAAGGTTAGAAGTTTTGGAGAACACTCTAACCGGATCTGAAGAACAGTTCTTTTTGGACAGGAACAGCAGTTTAAAGGTTTTGGAGCAAGGGGTTAATGACGAGACGGAGAAGCACACGTGCTTATATACGAGAAATTGTAATCCTAGTTGTGTTTTCGTTTGGGACATTAATATTTGACATAAATTTGAAAAACGAAACTTACATGGAGTCGGTTGTAAGAAGGTCGATTTGTAATGACCGTAGAGATTACGCCAGGTAATGAAATGTGGACGAACATACCCTTGCATATTGACCGCAAAGGATGAGTTGGGTTGAACGATTGGCGATTGGTTGGATTGGCATTGTCAGGCCACGTGGATTGCTTGGTGACGAAATTGCCCCTTCTTTATTTTGGCCAATTCCTGTAAAGCGACTGGCTTATTGGCTGCCTGTTTAGGTTGGAGACTAGTAATTCATTATGTTCTTTTTAGTAGAAGACGAACAATTTCTTAAGGTTTAGTTAAAATAAAATTACTCTTAGTTTAAAATTTTAATTTTTTTAATTTGGTTAAAAATTAACTTGTTATTTGAGAAATATAATAATTTAATTATCATGTTAATTTTTTTTAATACATAAAAGTTGGATGACTAGATTAGTGTTTCAAAGTAAAAAGACCATACATACTATTTAAGAACACAATTCTTCATGAGGAATTATTAATTTTCTTACACTTAGAGGACAACTTTGAGACAAAAAATCTACACAATTGATTCCCCTGATGATAAATATGTCTAATCTCTGTAACCCATTTCTCTTAAATCAGTGAAATACAACATTGAATTAATGAATCATGAAGATGAAAAGCTCCAACCCATGCAATGAGAAACTAAACAATAAGCATCAACTTCCAAGACTAGTGAACTAATTTGTAAACTTCTTGCTAACAGTAGACCCTCGTGAATACCCTATTATTCAACTGTCAAATTATTAGTACTTCCAATATTGAGAACAAAACCTCTGATTCATGCATAATTGGAGTTACGGATCCACCCCCTGTAGAAGCACATTTTAAGCCAACTTTATAAAGCTCCATTTATATTCAATAAGAGGCTACCCAAAGCAAATGGTTGCCACTTTGGTGTCTCGTTTGGTGCTTGCTTAGAATTCAAAACTTTCATAATTTCTTTAGATGTAATACGAGTCTTTTTTCAAACAACTTTTAGGGTATTTTGTAAAATTGTTAAAATTCACTTATTTTAATTTTTTTAAATTTTATTACAAATTGAGAGTTCCATACACAATCATTAAGAAATTTAATTTACAACATACAATTATGCCGTAACAAGAATTATCTATTGATTGTAATCAGTAATCCTATATTTTTCTTGTAAAAGGATAATCTCATAACAAGTGTAAAGTAGATTTAGCTACCAATTAGCACTAATCACAAAAAGTTGAATCCACCATTTCTTTCTTTATCCATAATACACTTGTATGTAGACGATCTAGTAACAACGTAGTCCAAATGAAAAACTTCAGTCTTTCAGTACAGTATAGTCGCCACACCCGCTTGTAATCCTCACCTTTATATCAACTCATCAATGGGCTTTTAGCAACCTAAAAATCGACCCAACACATTCGATCCCCCTGATGTGGAGCTAGTGGAATTGGTACTGCTGTTATCTGCAATATGACATATTCTGGACGCAAATGCTTGAACACACCGTTGATCTCAAACCTTATCTTCGGAAATAAAATCAGCCACTTTTCTATATCTAAGTTCTCCATCCAAGGAGTCATTAATATGAGCTAATAAAGGACCATCCCTACCCTACAAGTCGGACCAGAAATTTATCTTGATCCCATTGCCTATAAACCATTTCCTTCCCATGTTTAGTAATGTTCTGCACTTCAAAATTCCTTTCCAGGTTGAAGATGCATTTTTTGCAACAGCAATTGAATGAAAATTACCATTTGTGAGATACTTACTTTTCAAGATCTTACAAGATAGAGAATTGGAATTGTTTTCTAGGCGCCATCCAATTTTTGCTAATAAAGCAATATTGGAATCTCTTGCCGTATTAAGCCCAAACCTCCTTGCATTTTAGGTAAGCACATTTTATCCCACTTAACCAAGTGACAATGGGAACTATCTTCTGAACCACCTCACGGGAAATTCTCTATTTCATTTTTTAAATAAAAGATAAATATATCTCTTTGTTATTTCTTTCTCTATTTCATTTTTTTTTCTTTTTGCTTCTTTTTTTCCCAAGACTTTTTGTTTTAATTACAAAACTATGAGGTTTAATTAGATATAATTATAATTACATGATTTATTTAGTTTTAAAATTATTTTTAGTTTCAATTAAATTCAATTTTAGTTATATTAAAATATATTTCATCTATGTATCAAATGTATTAAATTATATAATTCAATTAAAAAATAATTATCATCTACGAGGTTTTATTGAAAATAAAATATTATCTAATAGTCTAAAAAAAAATTTCTTTATTTGTCTCTTTTCGGAAAGTAAGTGATTTTAAGATACTATTAATCAAACTAATATTTTTCAAAGTTTATTTTAATAAATAAAAATATCCTATTTTGTTTATTTTTCTTTTCTTTCTCTTTTTTTTTCCTTTTTTTATTTCATTTCGTTTTTTCTTTTGGACGGTTTCTTTATCATTAATTTCTTAACTAAAAATAATTTATTATATTCATTTCAAAGTTAATAAATAATTAAATTAAAGATAAGTTTAATAAAATTAATATGTAATTATTAGAATACAAATTAATTAAAATTTTATTATTAGTAATTGAAGATAATTTTAAAATTATTTAAATTTCATAATTTTGTAGTTAAAATAACTTTTCCATAAAAGAAAAAAAAAAGAAAAGAGAAACAACAAAAATAACGAAACAAATAATTAATGGACGATATGTTTGCCTTTTCATTTCAAATTATTTTCTTAATTAACAATATTTCTTTTCCTGAAAATAAGTATATTCTCCACCAAACTTCATAAGAGTAAGAGGATATTTTTCAAACCATAAGGGGTAAATAAAAGATAATTACTTCCACATAAAAAAAATGACTTATAATCTTTATTACACATAAAAAACGTTAATTGCTCAAACCAGTATAAAAAGTTTTACTAAATGTTTCATATGAGGATAAAACTTTTGATTTTGTTCAATTTAGCATGAAATGTTTTCAAAAGTTTTCGTTTGAGTACAAATTATAACGGAGAAGGAAACATATCTTAGTCTCAATGTTAAGTTTCTTAACATTAGATCCATGTATCCAAGATGACGTGACGACAACTCTCTTTTTTTTTGTAAGAAAATTACACGGTTCTGTCTTAGACTTTTGAGAAAGACCTAGTACATCGCCTCCTTCGAATAACCCTATGTCGTCTACCTCTTCCTCAGGACGCAAGTGTCCTCATCTATTATTATTTGTTACTTATTATCAAAGACTCTCTCTAATTATTCTTACTTTTACTCAGTTGCCAATTAATGTCACCTAATTATTTAATTAAGAATTGAATAACTTTTATACCAAAAAAACAAATAAAATGGAAAATCTCATGCCACCTAACAATTATTTTTTCCTTTTGGTAGTTCAAACGACGCCGCAGAATGCGAACAAAGGGGTAAAATCGTGAAAACAGAGAAGGAGAGGGAGGAGGATGAATAAAGTCCGGGGCTTCGCCAATTGAGGGTCTCTTCTTTTCCTCTCTGTCTCTCTAGTCTCCATCTATCCACCCTCTCTTTCCCTTTCCTGACTCCCAGAGACAGAGAGATCCGAGGTGTTTGGGCCAAAACCCTAGCCCTAAAAAATCACCCCCCAGCTCACAAATTTCTCTCAATCATCTTCACTACCAGGTAGTATTTTCTTTTCTTTTTCGCCCTTTCCGTTGCTTATGTTCTTTACAGTATTTGCTTAGCTCTATAAATTTTTGCTTTTTCTTTTGATATTATTTTTGCTTGAAGAATTAGCACGTGAGAATGGAACCCAGCTTGGTTTTGCTGTTTTGGACATGGGTTTCACTTTCATCCGGCAGATCTTAGTTTGGGACTTAGGTTGTTCTTTTTTGGCTAAATTTTTGCAGCTTATTTATCAAAATATACTTCATACGTTTAAATTGGTTGTGTTACTCGTGTAGTTTTGATTTTATACCTTTATTTCTTTCAAATATTATTTAGGTTAAAGTATAAAGGTAATTATAGACCCGTTGGCATTCAGCTCCATGAACAAATAGAAGTAGGTGGACTTCATGGGTTGCCTTGGTGAATTTTTCTGATTAAGACTAAATCAATTGTCTTTGGCCTGATGATTGGATCCTGCTGGGAAGATTGCCGCATGAAATTAGACAAGGAATATGTAATTTTTGTAATTTATTTAATTATGGGTTGCTCTTTGCAGTCATGGCTGCTGCAGCACCAGAGGGATCTCAATTTGATGCTCGCCAGTATGATGCTAAAATGAATGAGTAAGTAATTTCCTTGTATTGTTTCAAGGTATTTACGCTTTCAGAGTTAGATTTATTGTTTGTAAAATAAGTTTGTTTTGCTTGGTGGTCTTTATGATTTTTTAGCAGGTGTGTTTATAGTTTGATAAGCGTCAGATTTTAAAGAAAGATATCTAATGCTTGATTTGGTAAATTAATATGAACAGACTTGAGGCTGATGGGCAAGAATTCTTTACAACATATGATGAAGTTTATGACACTTTTGATTCTATGGGATTGCAAGAGAATCTTCTTAGGGGCATTTACGCTTATGGTAAGTTGGATCAATTGCGACTACTTTGTTAGTTGACAACTTCAAAGGGGGCATAGTGTAATACTCTGATGTTTTGCTGTATGCAGTAGCACTATTAAAACTTATTGAGCTTTATAGGTGATTCAAATTTTATTACTTTGTTTACTAATTTAGGTTTTAGCTTATATGTGTGTTCAATTAACAGCCTTTAATTTTCTATGGTGAAAATGTGGACTGTGAAGTTCTAGCAACAGCTTCATTTCTTTTTATTTTTCAAGAATTTATTCCCTTACAACGATGAAAATTTTCTTTGAAGGTTTTGAGAAGCCGTCTGCAATTCAGCAAAGGGGGATTGTACCATTCTGCAAGGGACTTGATGTTATTCAACAAGCACAGTCCGGAACAGGAAAAACAGCAACTTTTTGCTCTGGAATTTTACAGCAGCTTGACTACAGCTTAGTTCAGTGCCAAGCATTGGTCCTTGCACCAACTCGAGAATTAGCGCAACAAATTGAGAAGGTCATGCGGGCATTAGGTGATTACCTTGGTGTTAAGGTTCATGCTTGTGTAGGTGGGACCAGTGTCCGTGAAGATCAACGGATTCTCTCCAGTGGAGTTCATGTGGTTGTTGGTACACCTGGCCGTGTGTTTGACATGTTGAGGAGGCAATCTCTCCGCCCTGATCACATAAAGATGTTTGTGTTGGATGAAGCAGATGAAATGCTCTCACGAGGTTTTAAGGATCAGGTCCTTTTTTAACTTATAAGCTGTATGTATTATTTCTTGTGCTTTTCCTAGAAGATGATAGCTTTAGGTGTAAATCTAATTATTGGGATATAAGGATAATTTAATCAGGTTCTTACATGTTAATACTTAAGAGAAACTATTTTACCTATTAGCATTCTAGTAGTTGAGAAAATATATATTTTGGAATTGTGACAATTTCTGGATTGGTAGTTTTTAAGCTAGCTCTTCCTTTTGCTGTGATTTTCTGTTTTTTGGTTTGTTGTTTTGTTGACTCTGTTGTTATGTTCCAGATCTATGATATTTTCCAGTTACTGCCACCAAAAATTCAAGTAGGAGTTTTCTCTGCTACAATGCCTCCTGAAGCCCTTGAGATCACGAGGAAGTTCATGAACAAACCTGTAAGGATTCTGGTGAAGCGTGATGAGCTTACCCTTGAGGGTATCAAGCAGTTTTATGTCAATGTTGAGAAGGAGGAATGGAAGCTTGAGACACTTTGTGATCTCTATGAGACTTTGGCAATCACCCAAAGTGTAATTTTTGTGAACACTAGGCGTAAGGTAGATTGGCTTACAGACAAGATGCGGAGTCGTGACCATACAGTCTCTGCCACCCATGGAGATATGGACCAAAATACAAGAGACATCATCATGCGGGAATTCCGATCTGGATCCTCTCGTGTGCTTATCACTACTGATCTCTTGGCTCGAGGTATTGATGTTCAGCAAGTCTCTCTTGTGATCAATTATGATCTCCCAACACAACCAGAGAACTACCTTCATAGAATTGGTCGTAGTGGAAGATTTGGGAGAAAAGGTGTTGCCATCAACTTTGTGACCAGGGATGATGAGAGGATGCTATTTGACATCCAGAAGTTCTATAACGTTGTGGTTGAGGAGCTGCCGTCAAATGTTGCTGATCTTATTTGATGCTGTTTTGGGTTGGCTAGATAAATGGCTACTTGGAAGTGACAAAGTTTTAAGGTCTGTGGCCTTACAGTTGGAAGGGGTTTTTGGTCCTGCACATTTCGATGGGTTCCCATTACCATTTAGAAATCTGATGTTCAAATTTTGATTTGGTGTGTGTCCAAGTGAGAAAAAAATGTAGTATTGTTCTAGTTTTATTTTAAATTATGTTGTTTTATGTTCTTATTTTTTTCTCCTCTAGTTTCTCTATTTGAGAGGATATTATGTAGAGTTGTAACTTGATTATTTTAGATTATCGGACTTGCCTTTTGTGGACATTTTGGTAGTTATTCTTGTCTCCGCCCTCTAGCTATTTAATTGGCATGATTGTTTGAGAGTTTCAGTCTGATCAAGAAAGGAGGGAATGTAGTCCTTAAATGTAACCTGTTAGTACCTGTAGAAGGTTGTATTCATCTGGGCCGCGCATGTGTTATTTAGCATTCTATAGGATATGGAAAATTGTGCTAAGTGGTCGGCATGTAACAGTCTTCCTAATGTTTGATGCTTGATATTCTATTCTACTTCTCCAGGTTATTGGCTTATGTTTAGTTCTACGATATCTCTGTTGCAGCAAGACTGCAACATCTAATGCCTAAATCTAAGTAGGTGGAGCTAAAATCTAAGTTGCTCCCCTAGTATCAATCATTTGTAGGTTTAAAATTTTTGTAAAGCATGCTAGTATACGAACATGTTCTGTGGTAGCTGCTCATTCTCTTTGCAGAAGTGCTTCACAGCTAAGATGATACCATCTATATATTAGTGGGCATCTAGATTCTATCTGATAGGGAAGTTAAGAGGAGTCGAGACGAGTGCTTAAAATATTGGCTGGACTAGTTCCTGGTCACGCGTTCGGAACTTTCGGTAAAAGCGAGCGAGGGCCGTATGGCCTATTGACTTTTGAGCTTGGCGCCCATATGATGTGGTGAGCACTTTGCTTCTCCACGTCCACCCCTTTCCACCCGCAGGCAGGAGCAAGCCCCTAGCCCTACAATTATGATAAGTTGATAACTTTTGTGAAGCCTGGTCCCGGAATGCTGCTCATCGCTATCAATGTGTTAAAGCCACAATCCGTTGTGTAAAATGCGGATAAGAACTTTCGTCAGAGCATATGAAAAAGATGCCCTAACTTCAATGCCCCTCCAAAACAAATGAAAAAAAGTGCTGACTTAACATCAGTTCTGTTCTTTCCTTTGCTTAGCCATTGCGTAAGTTGCATTTAAGTATCAGAATATGATTTACGAAATGATTTAAGCAAGCATTTGGGGACCCAAAATGCACACGACTTGCTAGAAGACTTGTCATGTCAAGCTTTCAACGAGTGAGAAAAAAAAATAAAGAATGAGGAATAGAGATGTATTTTAATTTGAATTTTTAGACCGATTCAAAGGGTATGAGCTGGGGGGAATTCTTTTCAACGCCAACGCGATTGACTAGAGGTAGTTTGGTTTGTGAACCAAGTGACAAAAAAACGAGTTGGCTTTTGGGATTGTTAGCAGTTACTAGTACCTCTGTTATTTGTGGGTTTTGATCAGTTGATCTTAAGTTGCTGATTGGAACAGACAAACGCAAAAAGAGTTGAATGAAAGGCACAGTTTAGCAGTAACTTAATGCAGAGCAGCAAATAAATGTACGAACACTTCCTGCTTCACTTCTGTTGTACTCATGTTCATGCAGGTTTGTTACTAGTGGTGAAAGAGATGCAGAAAGAAAGACATTAGCCTTGAAACTGTCAAATCTGTTTCTCCATCTCTTTTGAAACAGCACCGGAAACCTGGAGTCCCTAACCACGGGGCAGGATTATCAAAGGAGCTTTTTATGTATTTTAACGGGCAAAAAGACGATGGCTAAGCTCACTGAACAATGAAAAGAGTTTTTACTAAGTTTTTTTTTTTTTTTGCAGAAAGTTAATTTATGAATAGTTTCTGCCACAAAGTATGACTGGTCAATGCAGATGTATTGTACCGAGGAGAACATAAATAATTGCCGTAGACAGTGGACAACATGATTTCCCCGTAAACACGCCATCTAGAATCAATTCCATGCCCTCCCAAAGTCAGTCACAAGAGAAAGAAATGGAAAAGTGGCGAAGGCAGAAATAATAAAAAAAGATGAATATCAATTTAAATTAATCCAGAGTTTAACTACTTTATTTTATCACCTCCAAGCTTTTCCACTCCTATAGGACCCCACAGGTTCTATAATTCTTGTTCTTTCCTCTTCTGTCAAGATCAAAAGAACTCAACTACCAAAACAAACACCCCCCTCCCCCTCCCCACCAGGCCACCACCACCTCCAGGAATCTCTGTTGAGTCTGCCAAAATTCAATGGAAGATTACAACAGATCAAGATCATACGGAAATGGGATGATGCAGCTGGATACCTACCATGGACCACCTAGGCCTTCAGCTTCTTATGATCTCAGGTGCTATAGTGCTTCCTATGCACAGTCCCAGATGGCTAACAACTATAGCACAGGCAACAACAGGGACTTCAAGTTGAAGAAAGGGAAGAGTACTTCTGGTTCATCTTCTTCAAAGTCATGGAGCTTGGCTGACCCTGAGTTCCAGCGGAAGAAAAGGGTTGCTAGTTACAAGATGTATAGCGTGGAAGGTAAGGTCAAGGGGTCCTTGAGGAGGAGCTTTAGGTGGCTTAAAGATAAGTACACACAAGTTGTCTATGGCTGGTGGTGATTTGGGCAGTTGGGCTCTTGTTATTTGTTGCTCTTCTCTTTATGTTTTTCTTGCTTGTATCCAAGGTATGTGTGAAAAAAAATTTCAATTTTTGTGTTAAAAGGAAGATTTTCGTTAAAAATTCTTGATGTGGTTGGCCACATGTGGGCTAGCTTGATTGTAAATTTGGTTACTGCTGCGCTATAACCTGCAAACAATTTTCTGGGAGTATATTTACATGTTGGTTCCTTTCAAAATTCTTGGTGATCTCATTATCATAAGGCGTTGACCACCTAGTTTGGAGGGTTCTTTTGTAGTCTTATTCTATGTATTGAATCGTTGATTATTTCACCAGTTTATCAACAAAAGGGATCGGGTTCATTTTGCTATAATTATTGTCAGTAATAACTATCTTTGCTCTTTATTCGCTGGCGAAGGGAGGTTTCTTTGAGTAGCTTTGATCATAGTCTTCTTCCGCAGGTCTTGTTCAAGAAACTTTCTTCATCTGTATTGTCTTAAGGGTCAGCATTTGATGCCTGATTGTTCTAGAGAATAAATCTACTTTAGAGCCTCATTTGATCAATTTGAGCTTTTAGCTTTGCTTGTTGGTCTTCCATTACTATGATGAGTCATGGCATATCTGTGCATGGACTGTATGGTTTCTTGTTTCACTTTTTATGGATCAACTTTTAGGCCTTGTTACTAGGCTTATAAGGAAGTATTGATCTTCTAAAGCTTATGCAGCGTTTGTAACTTTTAATCCCATTTTTTGGGTATAAATGATGCGTAATCTTTGTAACTAGGAAATGCTGATCAGGTGCCTTGCTTTAATTGTCTCCTAATAATTTCTTTTCTTTAAAGAGATTCACCTACTCAGGTGCTTATTGTCCAAGGTATGGTGCTCAGGGTCATTGCCTGTTTGTCGGTCTCTGTTGTTATATCCTAGTTTTCTCATGAAATTTCCTTCTCCTAAGATTACAATATCGCGAGAACTATACCCTCCACATGGGGGCTTAAGTAGTGTATGTCATAGGGACATGCCATCTATGTCAGTAATGTTTCATAAATTCTGGACCGTGCTCGAGTTTTATTTCTGGTAGATTCTGGACAAAACTTAGGTACTTCAAACTTCACTATTAGGGCATTTAGTGCTGTCTTGTTTCAGAAAGCCCTGTAGTACATTTATTATTTCTTCTGTTTCATGATTTGAGATACAACTTGCATGAAAGTCTTAAGATTGCATTATATTTCTGTCATGTATCAGGGATTCTTGTTTGTCTGGGACTTCATTGTTTTATACCATTCTTCAGTTGATTGCCGGTGACCCGTGCTTGAGGTCATCTCTAGCTGATGCGTCACAACCAGCATTCATTCCTTATTAGACCAATATGTAGTTGATTGAACTTACCACAATGGCTTTGTTTAAATTGCTTCCTAGTCGTATCGATTTACAGAGTTTAACATTAGCACATAATTTCAGGAAAGAAAGAGAGGAAAGAGAGGAGAGGGCTTTCTTGATGGGCATGTATGGGGATGCTTGTTTTCTGATGTCTTATGTCTCTTTCTAATATTGTATTCCTGTTCTGTTTTCTCTATTTTAACATGCACTCTGCCATATTACATCAATTTAACTTGGTCATTCCAAAGCCATTAACAGCAAATTATGGCGAAATTACATATGAGCTACCTTGCCAGAAATCAGGGCAGTTTGAACTACCATTGAGTTGAAAACCTCAATGGAAGAAATGACCATGCTGTGCTGTCCTGCCCTTTCATTAGCTTTTTGCTGTCGTTTATGTTGAAGTCATCAGGAAACTGATTTCACTGTCTTTGCCGAAAGTTGCTCTTCTGCAATGCTTTGCATGCATCCTCTCTGAGTTTGTATTTCTTAATAGATCCTGGTGGTATATCTTTGAATTAGAGTTTCCAATTATCATGTCATGGAATGGCACTTTCTTTCTTTTCCTTTTCAAAAAAGAGATAATTGATTACTGTCTGTAGAAAGAGTAATATCTCCCTGGAAAGAACATTTTGTCTTCTGCCAAATCGTCGGTACTGTATAGCTATTGGGCTATTCCTCTTTGCAACCGTGTTAACTTTCACAGTTGTGAAGCATAATCGCTTCAGCCAATCAAGATCCCCCCTTTTTCTTCTCTCTCATAGTCTTGTTTACAGTGTAGATATCAGCCATTAGTGTGAATCATGAACAAGATTGATAATTATTCGACATGATTCCAAGAGTGCATTAAGCATCGGCAATTGGCATTATCGAATGCGCTCGCGTTCTGTTCAGCCCTGACGTCTAATCTGTTTGTCTGTGAGAACCTCTTCCATGTTTGAATGCCAATGAGGAGTATGGTAGTCTTTGCCAACTTCAGAAACTGTGCCCGCATTCCAATCAACTATTTTAAAGACCAAATAGATATGGCCTAGTAGTTTACAGTTTGCAATCGTCTTTTTCTCTCTTGCTTAGGTTTGAGTCTTCACTCTCTCACTTGTATCTCAGCACGTTTTCCGGTCTTCGTCTACCTTACCAAGAAGCAGCCGAGGTTGCTTTCTTGGAAGCTTACAGGGACAGAAGTCACAAGATCACAACTAACAATGGTCTTCAATCTACAGAAGCTCAGCCGGATTAGATGAAGGCAAGAGCCAATATGGCAAGGTTACGTAAGTTCTTTCATTGGTAACAGAAACACCGGGGGGGGGGACCGTTTCCAGTTTGAGAGTGATTGTCCCCCAATTCCTCACGGCTCTTGGGTGCCAAATTCTTGTGTTCCATTTCCTAGCCTTGATGCTGGGATTCTGGCAATTCTTGCTAGGCAGTTAGGCCAGCAAATGTTTCTTCCATTTCTCAAATAGTAACACTAAAAAGTAGAGTTGATGGTAAATAGAGACTGCCAATTTGTGGCCTTAATCAATCCTGACAGATGAGTGGAGAAATTATCACGTCATGCAAACCTTTTATATTACATCAGCTTAATCAAAGTTTGCTGCTAGACTGCATAGCTGTAATGCACCCATTCAATGTATAAATCTCAAAGGTATTATAGATATTATTTTGGTACAACTGAAATTTGATGTTGACTTTGTACTTGGAACAATGACGAAAGGAGAAGATTCTTATAAATATTCCAGGATCTCACCCGGCTAAAAAAAAACGTGCCTTTCCCTTTCTAATCAACAGGAACAGTCATGTCCTGTTCTTACACCACCCTTTAGCCTATCCCATCTCCTTTCCCCTTTGTTGCCTATTAAAAAGCACTTTATGACTTAAATCCATTTTTTTATTTTCTCTTTTAGAATTCATGTAAAAGAGAGAGAGAGGGTGAGAGAGTTGTATTTACCAGACTCGTTTCACTGCTTCCAATCTCTCCTCAGCCTCAATAAACAAACCACCGAATCGCACGTGGGAACATGTCAAGGAACAAGAAATTACCAAATGACAGGCTGCCAATACCAACCCCGAATTGTTAAAAGAGGGGATAACGTAATGCAGCGACAAACCCTGTACCCACCCATAAATCCCCGTTTTAGGTAAACAGAAAAGAAAAAAAAAACCCAGCAAGAGAGAGAGAAAAGAGAGATTTTCATTTTTCAGATACGTTTCTTTTTTGTTGGTTTGTTTGATTTCGGAGGGATAGTGAACAAGAAATGTGGGAATCGATCTGTTTAACATTGGCAGCCACGGCGGGTAATAACATAGGCAAAGTCCTACAAAAGAAGGGCACTGTTATTCTCCCTCCTCTGTCCTTCAAGCTCAAGGCAATTCTATCTTTTTTATTCTCCATTTTTTTGCGGGTTTTCTCTTTTCTGTTTCTGGGTATCTCTCTTTTTAATGTTATGGAATGGTAGTTATGAAAACTTTTAAGGCCACTGCGGGATTGGATTTTGGTCTGGAATTTTTTCAGTTTGTGGAACTGTTGGGATATTAGTCATCAAAAGTTTATAATTTTGTATTGGGTTTGGGTTGTTGTTCCGTCTTAGCAGTTGCTGCTGCTTGAGATCAGGTTTTGAATGGAGTTCCTTTTTAATGTTAATAGACATTGTCGAAGATGTTATTTTTATGAGATAGAAGAATTGGATTTGGTGTAAATGTTGACTGAATGTGCATGTGTTTATATAGGTGATAAGAGCATATGCTGTAAATAAATCATGGGTGATAGGATTTCTAATGGATATTTGCGGTGCCTTGTTGATGTTGAGAGCGTTATCTCTGGCCCCGGTGAGTTGATTTTAATGATATTCTTTTTTTCCGCCATGAACCGAAAATTGATATTCCTCTATAACTTTATTGCTATAAAGATTACTACTTTATCTACATTATGGCCAATGTTTGGCTGTGCGTTGATTGACTATTATATCTGATGATTTATAGTGTAAATTGTTTGTGCTGCTTATCTTGGTAATGACAAAATTATTGTTCAGGTATCTGTCATTCAACCAGTTTCTGGCTGTGGGCTTGCCATTCTTTCTATCTTTTCGCACTTCTATCTACAGGAAGTCATGAATGTTATTGACTGGATGGGAATTACATTAGCTGGCATTGGCACCATAGGTAATGTAAGTTTTTCATGGTTCTCATATTTAATTTCTGCCTGCAGAATCAACTCTATAGGTATGATTACAAAGAGAGTACAGTGACATGATAGTTCTCACTTTAATTGAAAGTATAGAGTAACTTATTTAATAACTTCCTCTAGTGGCATCGTCATATTGTATTTTGTCGATGATTTAAGGGTTTAATTCCATAAAGTGCAACTTCTCATTTTGGTTATGCATATAGTTTCTGCAATAAGCAGAACGATCCAGTTTAGATATATGATAGCCCAATAGAATACTTTTGACCTATATAAAGTAATAGCCTTCTTTTATTTTTGGTACATTCAGGAGTTGGTGCTGGTGGAGAGGAGCAAGAGGCTTCTTCAGTATCTATGTTACAGTTACCATGGTTGGCATTCTTTGTCGTGATCTTGTTTGTAGGTATCTTTTTCCTGTACTCTTATCTAATAGTACTGTTTTTATATTAATATTATATGTTTTTATTATTAAAAAAATGTTGTGGGATTCTGTGAGAGCGTTTATTTCATGATTAAATTCTTGTCTTGCAAACTTGAAACATATAAATTCCTAAGTTCTAAGTTCTATGGAGCATTTCATGACTTTAAAAGATGCAAGGCTTTGATGCATTATTCCAAAAATGGTATTACTTTACATGGGAACTTCTAGAAGTTATCTGAAGGACATGTCCGATCAATAAATACTGCAATGTTAATCTAATAACACAAGTCAATTAAACCAAGTCCTAAATCTCAGCCAGCAGAGTCACAAAATTGAATTTGTAGTTTAAACATAGCCCGCCAATTGTGATTAATTTGTTGACAGTGCCTACCTCCTCCGAGGTGCAAGATTTGAGTGGTGTGATGATGGCTATTATTGATGAATGAATTGTTTGTAAATTCAGTATAGAAGTCCTAGAGAACTTGAAATATTTTATGAATGATTGATTCTATTGAATTTAAAATGTTAAAAATTTTAACTTTCGTGGAGGTAGATTATTTTAAAAAACTAAAGATCTGTTGCTGATGTTGGCTATTGAACTTGAAAGGGCTATCCATACTTTTTGATGTCTCAGATTCATAATCTTCTGTTTTCCAAACATTATCCTAGTCATGCTCATGCTATATTTCATGTCCTCTGGACTATTATTGTGGGTTAATCCATTCTGTGATAATAGTTTGATACTCTATATATGGTTATATAGGTACTCCTAAATGGATGGCTTCGCATCTGCAAGCGGCAACGGAGAGAACAAGAACTGGTAAATCTCTCTCTCTCTCTCTCTCCTATTTTAAAGATTTATGTTCCTTTCACTCTTTAATGGTATTCACTTATGGAACATTTTGTTTCTTTTTCCCCCTCACTGTTATGCACTTTTTAACAATTTTTCTCATGCAGATGGAGTATGAAGTTGTTGAAGAAATTATATATGGCTTAGAATCAGGAATTTTATTTGGGTACTCTTTTTCTCCTGAACCAGTTTTTCTGTGGATTTTATTCTTTCTCTTCATGTTTTATTCTTTCTATTCATCAAAACTGATGTGTTACCTGTAGTTCTAGAAGTTCACCTCAAATGGAGTCTCATCTGTTTGCAGGATGGCATCAGTGATATCAAAGATGGGTTTTGTCTTTGTGGAGCAGGGTTTCTCCAGGATGTTGATTCCTCTATGTGTCTCAATCAGCATATGTTGTAGTGGTACTGGATTTTACTACCAGGTATTTCAGCCACCTAAGTGGTTCACGGTGACATCTGTGCACGATGATATCCATATCCTTGCTTTAAAGCTAGTTTAGCCTTTTTCGGCCAAGCCGAACGTTTGTCCTGGATAACAAGTTCTTGTCCATGTGCTTGATTCAGGGGATTCATGTCTGACATGGTCCACTTATGTTGTGATTTAGTGGAAGCAAAGTTAATTGTTAGGAAATTCATGTTTAACAGGGTCCACTTATGTGATTCTGTTTGCATGGTTGTGGCAACTATTGCTGCAGGCTTGAGCATCTTGAATAGTTATAACATAATCTTTTTACACCTTTTGAGCAGACTCGTGGCCTAAAGCATGGCAGAGCAATTGTGATTTCCACGTGTGCTGCTGTGGCATCAATTGTGACTGGTGTACTTGCTGGTATGCTTGCATTGGGTGAACGGTTGCCTTCAGCACCAGTTGCTCGTATTTCACTTCTGCTTGGATGGTATATGAGTTGACAACCTAATGTTTACACACGTATTATACAAAAATCATATCATATTCCAAACTTTCATAATATGTGGCTTCTGAACATCTTTTCCATGTGTTTTGGCACTTATTGCATATCATAGCGGAGTATATGCATAGAAAAGCTTCTGTGGTTGATATGATCCTGTTTAACAACCCTATCTACCACATTTTTCTTTTTAAAATAAAAAAGAAAAGTTTTATCAATGCCACTCTTTTGCTCTAGATCAATAGGTGTATGATATTTAGTTCAAAATCATTTGATCATTTACTATCATGTACTGATTCTTTGTACGTGCCATTATTTGGGATATCTGCTAAGATTTCAAATTCTTGTAGCTCAAATTAAATATTTTTTCCATGAAATTGCAGTTTACCTGAGAAATTCCTGTTGCAGGTTATTCATCATGATGGGTGTGATTTTGCTTGTGAGTTCAACAAGACTGATGCGGCACCTTCCATGGCCATTGCAGAACTTAATACCTAGTGGAGTGGACAGGAATTTCAATCTCAGGCGGTCAGGGTCTTATCGAGTCAAGGATCCAAGTCCAAGTGCTGTTATCCAGGCAGCAACATTGCATCATCTGATACCAACACCAGCTAAGGAGAAGGCGTAAATTAAGAAAACAAAAGATCACTGCACATGCATATGTGATTATCAATCTCTGATCATATTTTGGGTCTGGATGGGGTTGCGATGTACAGTACATTCAATTTGATTACTGGTTTATTTGGAGGGCATGAAATTTTTAATATCAGTCCTTCACAGAGCTGCGTTTTACATCAAATTGTGAAATTTGTGAACTAAAACTATTTTAAAATGACCCTAACATACAGTATGCAAATTGAATCCATTGCTGCCTTTGTTTCTTGCAAAAACCTTGAATGAGCAACCTGAGGATAAATAGCCTCGGAATCACCGAGAGACCAAAAAGGTCCGCACTTTAGCCCAACTCAGGTTTTTCGAGAAACAAATTCAAGGAGTGCTCTCTCCATGGTGACTGGTCAGTAGACGTCCGTAGCTCATTTGTGACCTTCAGTCGTTTGTGGGGTTCAGTGTTACTTGATGAACGGTTATGATCAGATGAGCGGGAAGCAGTGAGCAATCATGGCATTTTCTGTTGTTTGCTAATTGTTAAGCATCGAATAATTCCCCCTCCATCCGCCCAACATGCGCACTAGGGAACAGGAGGAAGAGCCAAGAACCTTGTAAAGACTTACGGTGTGCGAAGCATATACACCTTGGCGATTGGTGATTCTTCTCTATTTCACCTACCATTACACTATAGAAAGAACACTGAAAATCCTGTATTGTTGACTTGAGTGATCTTCGGAGGCAGCG